TTTTTTTTTTCTATTAGAGTTATATTGGGTCAGTTCGTGATTATAATATGATAGAATGAAATAACTCCTAAATTTACATTATTTAAGCATATATTTGTAACTAGTATCATGTACTAACTTTCATCAGATATAAGCCTAGAACATGTATTGGTTATTCTCTCAAATAACTTTATTTTAACTTGAATGAGAGGTAATTAGTGCCCAAATTGACCGTAGGGTCATTCCTTCTCATTGCAAAATATGTAAAATATATGATTGTCAAGTATACTATGTATGAATAATATAAATAGAAAAAAGACATAAAACCTAAAGTATACCCCAGAATATTAAAATGATCAACTTTGGTTGATGAGTTTACACATGGTTTGGTTTTCTTTTTTCTTTTTTTTGCTTATTTGTATTTTCTAATTGGTTCATCATAAACAGGTTACTTTTATAAGAAAAAGCAGAATTAATTTTTTGCAGATTGTATAAATTTGTTTTCAATGAAATAAGCACTTTGCATGTAAAGTTTCACTAAAAATTAAAAATTATAAGATCTATTTTAGTCAACACTGCTAAAATCTACTATAGTACTTTTTTTAACCATTATAACCTTTGACATACATGAATAGTAACATTTTTTGGAGGTTGAGATGGCACAAACATTTTAATTGTTAAAGTTGCATACATGCATGTAAACGGGACAATCTGGTAAAATTATTAATTGTGATATTTCACATTTTGCCATGCTTACTTTGGTAGGTACGAACTATGGCTCGAGATTTATATGATGACCACTTTAAAGCTGTTGAAAGCATGCCTCGTGGAGTAGTGGTAACACTCAGAAACATCGCAACTCAGTTAGAGTCATCTTGGGAACTTCATACAAATAGACAAGTATGTCAACCTCTAGATTTTATGACTCAGTGTATTTTAGTTTCTTTTTTCCCACTGTCCTTTATATCCTGGTTGTTGAGTAGGGTTCAGCAAATTATGGCTCATGGGTCACATCTGGCTTGCTACCTGTTTTTGTATAGCTTTGTGAGGTGAGAATGGTTTTTATATTTTTAAATGATTGAAAACAAGTAAAAAGCAGGATAATATTTCATGTCACATGAAAACTGTATAAAAATAAAACTTTAGTGTCCATAAATAAAATTTTATTGCACATAGCCATGCTTATTCATTTACATTTTGTCTATGGCTGCTCTGGTGTTACAACAGCAGGGTTGAATAGATGTGGCAGAGACTATGTGACCTGCAGTGCCTAAAATATTTATGCTGGACCTTTTATAAAAAAGTTTGTTAACCTTTGGGTAGAGGTAATTTGCTTTAATAATTTGAACTTTTAATGTTTAATATCTAATTTATTTCATGATAATTGATGTTACTTTAAGAGCTGTGTTTTTTTGATTGTCTTCATTAAAATTTTTTTTCTTTTAGTGTATCGAGGGTGAGAACACTTGGAGAGATTTAATGAAGACAGCTTTAGAAAACCTAATTGTACTTTTGAAGGATGAAAACACAATTTCACCATATGAAATGTGCAGTAGTGGCTTGGTGCAAGCACTTCTTACTGTTTTAAACAACGTAAGTTTATTGAATAGTAGAGAAAAAAAATAATACAGTTTTAAAAATTATTTGTAGCTGTGCTTTTGGTAGAGTGATTTTTAGTTTGTTTTATTAAAAAATACTTGAAAACTGAGTAAAGTTTATATTTCTTAATTTTCCCAGCCTTTTAAGTTGTATCATTACTTTGAGCCAGTCGAATCAAATAATTGAGTTTATTTTGAGTAAGTATCTAAATTATATGTATAAAATTAATTTCTGAACAATGAAAGTTTAGGGAGTTTATGTGAATATGTGGCAAGTATTTGCTAATAACCATATATTTTTCTTTGATTTAGTCTACCTTGAATATCTCTTTACTGTGATAAATTTTTTTTTATTTTAATGAAGGAAAGATTTCTTCCCGTTTCAGTTTTACTTGGCATTTTAATTTCTTGATCTTAATCATTGTATGTCGTGATGCACTCTTAAGATTCACTTTAACTTCAATGAATTTCATATTCCCTTTGTAGATTTTACCATTTGCGTTTATTCCTATTTATTAAATTACAGTGATATATCACATTATACTACTTAGTAATATCTGTGAAATCATGGTTTTTACGTACCAATTTTTTTTAATGCTCATTAAAGTAAATAGTGCTGTTAAAATGGAAAATGTTTATTCATATATAATCTGAAATCATCATGAATACATGGAGAAACATGGCTTTTGCAGTGTAATTGCTGACTACATTATAACATTAAAGAAGGAGAAAATTCTGTTAGCCATGGCGAACTAGTCATATAGTAAAAAGAATTTGAATTGCAAGATTAAATGACTAATGATTTAACTCAAATTGTATTGATAATTTTTCCCGTGGCCCCTTGTAAAAGCAATGTATTTGAT